GGCAACTCGACTGATTTCAGTCTGTGGTTGAGACCACTGAGCTACGGGGGACGGCGACGACCGCCGTGAAATAAAGTGAAATGTTTTTATCCAGCTTAACAAAATCCTGCCTAACTGCAAGTCCGTGTAGCCACAATGCGGTGCTGTAGGATGTATGCAGTATCAACCTCAGCATGAGTCACCATCATACATTTACCGACATCCAAACACCCAAACATTTCTTGCAATTTACTATTGACCCAGAAACAGCTCCGTCTGATGCTTTTCCAGACGTGCCAACGTCTACGGACTGAGACTGGTCTGTGATGAATTCTTGCAATTTATCACATCCCGGTTAGAAATATGCAACCCATATGTGTTAGGGAGCAAATTCACAGGCTTTTTGGAAAATGGTCATGGCCTGTATTTGTGAGCACTTCATCCTGAAATTAGGCGTCACGCATCAGTTATATATCGTGATTCTTCTGGTATATCAACCACTTATATGATATATATATATATATGAAATGATGTAAGTTACCTTATTTTCAATTGCTACTTCATTGGACATGGCTACCGTGTATTACCGAATATAAACCTGTCCACTGATAAGACGACAGTCTAACTGCAATATCAAATTTTTTCAGTCCCTGTATTAACCGACCCCCAAAAAACAGCAAAAAAGGAAATTTTTTCTCCACGATTTTGACATCACTACCCTCCTCACACTTGAGTGTGTTCAAGCGAGACCTGGTCTACTATTGGTCACTTGTGGTGCCTGTTATGTATATAAGCGCTTTTGATTCGCTACCCACAAGAAGCGCTAACGGGACGTCACATCACCCAGCTGGGAGGGAACTTGCTTACATTTCGTGCGATCTTCTAACGACATGCAAAACGTGATATTGCCTGTGACTTTTTCAAATTGCGTGTAACCTTTTTACAAGCCAATCCCCATCTACAAAAACGAAAATTATCCCGATATTATCAGTTTACATTCAGTAATATACGGTAGCTAATGCGGTGTAGGTGTTGATGCAGTATATCTGGACTTCTCAAAGGCTTTCGACCGTCTGAACCACCGTATCCTCCTTCACAAGTTGCAGTGTTGTGGGATTGGTGATCCAACCCTCGGTTGGATAGGTAACTTCTTGCTTCAACGACATCTAAATGTAAAAGTTCGCGGCGTAATCTCTGACCCAATCGACGTTAAGTGCGGAGTGCCCCAGGGCTCAGTACTTGGTCCACGACTATACCTGATTTACATAAACGATCTCGCGACAGTAATCACGTCCAAATCCTTACTCTTCGCTGATGATCTCAAGATATGGCGAGCCATTAGAACAACCAGCGACAGCGCAACACTTCAAGATGATCTTGACAGGGTCTACGAATGGTCGACTCAGAACCTGCTCCAGTTCAACACTACAAAGTGCAAGGTATTGAGCATACGCCATAAAGCCACTTGCGAATACAGACTGGGGGATCAAATATTGCAGTGCACTTCAACGGAATGCGATCTAGGCGTGATAGTGCAGTAAGATCTGGGCTGTTCCCGTCAGGCCTAGAAAGCCTCCAAAAAAGTTAACCAAAACCTTTGCCTTTTGCGGAAGGCATTCGGGCGCTTCGATCCTTCCATCTTTTCTCAAATACTCAACGCCTACATTCGGCCTCATTCTGAGTATGCCATCCACGTCCGGCAGCCATGGTTAAAGCAAGACCTTACCGCTCTTGAACTGCTACAACGAAGGGCGACCAAGAACGTAAAGGGCCTGTTTCATCTCCCTTACCGATTGAGGCTGAAAACCCTCGGGGTCTACAGTGGACAATATCGACGCCTGTGTGGCGACTGGATGATGACTTATATGATCCTGAGGAATCCAAACCATTCTTGTCGTCCCCTTTTAATACTGAATCGCAATACCACACTCAGAGGACACCATCTAAAGCTGGCCACACAATACAGCCGGTTGGAATGCCGCCGGAGTTTCTTTTCACTTCGTGTATGCGAACACTGGGACGCTCTTCCCACATACATTGTTTCTTCCCCCACGCTAACGGTATTCAAAAGACGTCTGGATGATTCGCTTATCCACCTACATTACTCTGTATAATTAGAGATGTCCTCGTCAAACAAACGCGAACAAACGGTGCTCATTCTCAGCTTTTGTGCTTCACTATTTACACACTGCTGTTGTGGAATATAGTTCGGATATATTACAATTGCATTCATCAATTTACCTCAGTCCAAGAAAGCGGCGCACGAGTAAGCGTTGGTCGTTTCTCTTGTTCTTAAGACATGCATTCCCCATATTACTTCCCATATTACTCTACAGTAACAATTCCGTACACCTTCTACCACGTTTCTATGACTAAGGGGCACTTGCATTCATGAGACGCTTAGATTGACGATTTACACTTATGTTTATTTTCACTTCAACCATCCTACGGGACTTGTAAAGCAACCGCTATTTTACCCGTAGTATATCATTATTCATTGTTCATCTTATATATTGCATAC